AAAATGCGGATGAGATTAAGTCAATCGTAAATTGATTGGCGGTGGATTTGATCGTGAACACACTTCAACAATCGAACTTATGCCATTGTAGCCAGCTTTCCACTTGTGCACAGTGGAATGAGTCGAACAGGAATGGACACGTATTTGCTTTACATTAATACCAAAGTATAGTCACTGTACAAAAAATGTAAAATTTGAGGTCATCAGTTCAGTGTTACTTGGCAACTTTTTAAAAAAATCATAAAATATTGGACTCATTTGCAGTGGCTCGGAAGTTTCATTTATCATTGATTTGTAATCCATGGCTCTTACACCTGGTGAACCATTGTCAATCATCGACCTGAACCAATAAAAACCGCAGGGACATTTTATATTTCTCTATATTTAGGGTAACATTGTTTTTATATACTACAGCCTTCGCCAAATGTATGTAATTTCCATGGAACTCACGTTGCCGGAATTGTAGGTAGCAAGACTTATGGCGTAGCTAATCAAGCAGAGCTTTACTCGGTCACAGTGTTGAATTGTAATAATGCCGGTACTTTGACAGACATTATTGGAGGTAAGAAACATGCTATATTAATATATTACACTAAAAATACAGCCTCCACACATATAAAATATGACTCAAAAATTGACGCCTTCGGTCTCCTTGACTGTATACTATATGTATATAACGCTACATGATTTATATATTTGTTAAAAATACACATATTTCATGCATATACATCACATTTACAAATGTATTTCAGTTACTCCGAACCATTGAGGCTAATGCATGTGGACTTGAGTGTACATGAACCATACAGTATATTATTCTATAAATGATAAAATATTATAATTCTCTCACTACAACCTAAATATGGCGTAAACTATGTAACTGAGCAGTGTACATAACATACATTTGTATTCGTATTTGCTAGAGCTAAACACTGAAATGAATGTAGCTATTATAAATACATTCTGAGGGTTAAAATTAACTATGAATTATAAATCAATATGTTGTTAAGATACAAAATTGACATTTTTAATTGAAAATTTATTAGAACGTTTTTTAGGCTTTAGCTTCCATGTATCCTATATTTATATATACATATAAATAATTCACCATTGGTATATATAATGTATATTTCATGTACTTTATATGTGTGATAATTCAGGTAAGGACAGCAATTCTACATTTTACATAGTCCTGACAAATGGGACTAAAAGGTAGTGTCCTTCCTATGGAGTCTACTTTTAATGCGCACATCCGGGCGTGACAGCCTTTGAAAAAAGGACACTCTCGTCTGGAACGATGGAATTACACATCGCCTCACCTAGGACATACATTATATACTACGCAATTATATTTTTATTTGGAAAGGACATACACTGATATTACATTATCCGAACATTTCTGGTATTTTATTCATAGCACAATAATACTTAACTATTTTCACTTCCAAATGTCTAAGTATTTAAACATTGCGGGAAATATATTTGCAGTGTGACTTTCAATGTAACAGTGAGTTTGCATTTTTATCAAAAATAATTGTTTTATTGTTTTTGGGTCTATTGTTGATGACTATTAAATTTGGTTTAAGTTAATCATTTGTTTTTCGTGTCTCAGACACAAACTTAGACTTAAAATATTGAGTTATATAATTGTATAGCATGCTGTATTTACCAACCAACCATCTTCAAGTGACACACCGACGGCCAAGATTTAGCCCAGTGATTACGACACATATTGCTTGTATACCGAATGCATTGTATTCCTTAGGTTTGGATTACATTGCTACACATGGTACAAAGCCTGGTGTGATTGTGATGGCACTAAGTGGGGTCTTTGTTGAAGCTCTCAACCAAGCCATCGCAAATGTTGAAGCTGAAGGATATGTTGTGGTAGTTGCTGCTGGTAATAGTGCCGATGATGCATGTTTATACTCACCTGGTAGTTCCGAGAAGGTGAGTTTAGTGACTAGAACTAAAACGTAAATGGGCGCCGAAATTTTGAGTGAGAAAGGGACACTATACTAGTTTTTATTCTTTAATAGTGTTCCATTCTCCCGCCATCACGTCCTCTGTTCCAATTACCATCAGTGCAATACTAGTCATGATGACGGGGGGGGGGGGGGATAAACACTATTGTAGGGGTATAAACGAGTCTCTATATGAAGGTTATTTGCGTACGATGTCAATTAATGACTTTGCCGACTATTGCCGAGTTTGTAATCAATGTTGAAACTTGCAACTTGTGTTCACAGGCAATCACAGTGGCAGCTACGGCCAATGATGATCACGCGACGACGTACAGTAACTATGGCGAATGTATTGACATATATGCTCCAGGAAACTATATAAAAACAACCGGATCTGACAATAAAAATCCTCCGCTTAGGAGTGGAACTTCTATGGCATGTCCTTTCATAGCAGGTACATATATTTTGGCTTGTTATTACAATAAGAAATATACAAGATCATGTCAGAGGTCAGTTGTTCATGTTTACATCATCTCGCTCAGTGTTTTGGCTTTGGTGCTTCAGAGTCTGTTGCAAGTCGAACGGTATTGTCTATAATTTCCTCAAATTCTGAGCCGCAAATAGTCTATTTGGGGAACAAGCCTAGCATACTACTGACTGATATAACTGTACACAGTATATATGGTGTTGAAATATAGAGTACAGGTCTTTTTTATTGCTTTATGTCAAAATCAGTGAAAAAGTTAGAAATAGGTAGTTTATGAATGTGTTCTTGTAAAGAAAAAAACAAGAAGAGATTATAGGCTATTGATAACTACACAGTGCGATTCAAATCACCAACCATTGCGAGTTTTATACACATTTTTGAACAATTCTGTGCTTCTTACATTATTTAGAGCAACTCTAAATTCTCAATATTGACCAGTTAAGTAAATATAACAGTTTTTACCCTAAATATATTTTGTGATAGCGCTCAAAATAACCTGTTATTATTCATTGTACTAGAATAACTATTCCTTGATTTTAACCATCTCCATGGCAGGAATTTGACAGATTATTAATTAGTTTTGTTCTTTGATGTCATAGTACGTCAATACACATTTACGTCCAAGGTGTTGTCATGGTGAGGTAGCAACCGTACAGTTAGAGGCAATGTACTATTAATGCATATATCATTTCTGTCCTGAGTTCAATTATTAAAAAAAATCAGAGTTGATTTATACTACTGTTGGTTGTGTGACATCACTGATTTGAATAGTTTATTTGACAGCTTCATTATTCAACCAGTATATATCATTACTATATTACACACTCTTTACTTGGTGATGGCGTGCTGTACAGTCTATGAGTTATTTTACATCTATGCTGGTTTGTTTGTTTGTTTGTTTGTCGCCCTGTATAGTCACATGCATATAATACATTTCTATTAGATGGTGGTTTGAGACAAATATTCGTCATGTGTATTTATAAATCACCACTATCACCACGTTTTCATGACGACGTAGCGTACACGATAATATATATATATATAAATTCATTTCCATAAAAAGTTCACAAATGAAACGATTTCTTTTTCAATTTATAGCAATAAAGTATGTAAATAATAATGAATCTCCGACAGCGTTACACTCGGCTTTGCCTTAAACATATTTTGAAATTTCTAACACTATAGTCATGAAATAATCCAATAAAACAATTGATTATACTTCTCATAGGTATCGCTGCAATTCATCTGCAAAAGAATCCGGATCTGACACCAGCCGAAGTCAAAGATATAATTCTCTCAAGTGGCACGAAAGACACAGTTTATGGGACTGCTATTGATAATGGAAGTCCTAGCTTATTAGCTTACATTGATCCAGGTCTTTAAATAATGGATTCCGTTACAAACCCCCCCCCCCCCCTAATAGCAGGTTTTATATAACAAAGGAGCTGATGCCAACCAATCACGCTTCAACTTATTTTATTGGTGTTAGTGTGACGTCAGTCATTTTTATGTTATTTTTTAATCCAGCTAAGTAGGTGTTTCAGAATATATATGATGTTGTTTCGTCGTCGAAAAATAGTTAATAATTTGAAAGACATGTGCATATTGATTGAGATTAAAGTGAATATAATGCAATTATTTGAGTGCTCTGTTTATTTTACATCACCAACACAACATACATGCGTTAGAGATGGGTGATCAGTTCCATTTAATATCATGCACTTTTCTTTATTACACTGATTCAAACTTAAAATAATGATTTCCATAACTTCACTACTGATCTGTGAAATTCTACTACTCATTGTAGTGATATGAATTACAAGTACGGATCGATATAAGCAAGTAAATTTGGATTTCCACGAGCTTCAAAATCTTCTCCCCATACTTCACCAGACGTGGCGCTGTTTGTGATAATAGTTTTCAATTCTGTCGGGGTTAGACTTGGGTTTGTCTGTAGATGTATTGCAGCAATGCCTATGAAAAACAAGTAGATTCGGGATGAGATATACGGAGCATAACGCTTATTTATATGATTGAGTTAACAATTCAAACGACAAATATATAGGATTGAACAAACGTATTGATAATTTAAATGAACACGAAACGTGTAGCGTACATTATGAATAAGAGTATATAATCACTTAACGATGCGTGAAATTGGATCAGTTTACATAACATGCTCATTAAATATTCCAAAAATGCAGATCATTTATAGTAAACCTGTTTACTTCGCAGATTTAGATTTATACATCCACGCCGGATGTTCACTTAATTACATTTTGTCCTGTCAGAAGTAATATGTTTTTGAATGTGGTGACTATGTGTGATTGTATTTGCATGCCTGTACACAACAATGTGACAGCTACGCCAAATTCAACCAAGAATCACAACTTAATACAATGTCACAGTCACACCTCAAACTCGCTAAATTACCCGGAGGTCTACAATTGTTTAAGAGTATATCACTGCGAAACACGAATATTCAATTTAACAATTTTAACAATTTGTTTTCGTCAGCAGTTGCATCAGATATGTCAAACTAAAGCTTACGAATGTTTATGACAACATTTTTTTTTAAATATGTGTAGTTTCAGTACTATCAGTGATTCCGTAAGTCTGTAGTACAACATTGTCTCAGGTGTGTGAGTGTGTATATACACTCAGTAATACAGTGACATATAATGCTCATGACTCCTTCCGTTTTCGGAGCACGTGATATTCAGTCCGATTACGTCAGCAACGTATAGTCACGTTCCTGTCCTTATACAAGAGTGCCAAACGAATGCAACTTTCCAAGATTGTGTGGCATTTTAAAATAAAGAAATTACTAGCCCACCTACGCACCAGACGACAGTTTGGCGCACTAGGACAAATATATATGATACTGGAGCCCATATTGTCGTATATTGGGAAAAGATATATTTAGTTCAAGAAGGTATACCTCCAACAAATGCAGCTGCAACTGAGGTTCCACTTGCAAAAACGACATTATGTTTGTCTAAATCCAGTGTTTTGATGTAATTTCCGGGTGCGAATATGTCAACACATGAACCATAGTTTGAGTACCATGTTTCATGATCTCTAGATGACGTAGCTGCTACTGTGATTGCCTATATTATAAGTGATATATAAATAATGTACACAATTGAAAAAATGATTATTGCTGTTTATTCAACGTCCCAGTGCAGTGGCTAAATGCTCAAAATATTTGTTTTTACACCCCTTGAATTGTGAGAAAATGTATACCACATTTATCGTTATTTAGAGTTGGTGGTAGCCTTCAATGTATGGACTCTTAAATTAAAACCAATGAAGTGATTGTTTCAATTGATTTATATTCAGAATATAATTAACCAACTCTAAAAACATCATGTAATATAAAGTATCAAATAAAAAGTATTTTGATGTAATTTTTAATTATGATATGTTTGTGTTAGTCATTAAATTTCGACAAAGTAAGAATACAAAAACAAATTGTTGATGCACAACCTAATTTGCATATCTGTATAAATAAATCTTATATTTCGTATAATATTCATTGGTACAGTTTTAATACTTCTCAATAACAATCAAATGAAAGGTTTATCATATATTGTATTAACAAAACAAGGTTCACAAGTATGTACTAGTTCGTTAGATTATATAAAGCTTTAATTTCTTCGGGTATACCATTTAACTATCATTGTAACCGTTTATCATATGCTCGTATGGGTTGTACCCACTGTCATCAATATCTTACCATGATAATTATGGTGAAATCACATGTGTCGTAGTTTTGTATTGATGCCAACATTGTAAGAAGTGTCAAGTCTTTATTCTAAGTAAATATAATAACTTCGCTATACATATATGCAACTTATGGTTGATTAAAGTGAAGGAAGCAGCCATAATATGTGTTTTCGCCAGGAAAACACATATTAAGTGGAAAACACCAAAACAGCTAATGCACATAGATAAGTTCTATCAATCCCATTGTTATGATGGACGAAAAAGGATAATCTAAAATCAGAAGCAGGATAATAGATAAAGAACTCTGATAAAGTAACCATACAAGAGTAGAAAAACAAACAAGTGCTTTGAACCTGCAAAGTGAATTAGTCTGAAGACGCTGCAGGGAAATATGCGCCAATCATATTCAAGACAATAGAGGATGTATATGCTTTGCATCGCGTATCGACTAAGCTTTTACTTGACTTCGCTACAATATATCATGTTACTTCGTGTTTTAGAATCCTGCTTTGGTACCGCGTTAAACACAAATAACCCAGTACATGTAAGTACCTAATGTTCAATATTTGTAATTCGCTAGGACGTAGTGCTAACATTAGTGAGATAATCTTCTAAGAATACGGACAAAATTAATATACTTAATAGAATGTCCTGCCGACAATGTAACGATACTAGCACATAATTCGTAGATACATTTTGCACTAGCATAACATGGTCTGGGAAAACAATAATAAAAACATAGACAGGGTTATGCACAGAGATTAAAATTTGTTTCCAGAAGGTATGACGTCAGGAAATTGACATTATAGAAATATACTAGCAGATCATGGTTTACCTGGTTTGAAAAGCAACGCTGTTATGTAATGGAGGAAAGCATTGACACATGTAAAATACATTTTATTTGATATTTATGTTAGTTCAAGGTTTAGTGTGATTAGACGAGTTTGATCAATCTCAAAACCAGTCACGGTTGTCAAAACACTGTACTCATTGTATTGTTATAAATTATGTAGTAATTCGTGAAACAAGTCAACAAATAAGCAAATTTCATAAGAAAGCCAAAGATATCTCACACACCCTCAGCTCTGAACAGTGATTTTATTTCAAAGTTAAATTCTACATTAAAATACCCTTTGTTTGTTATATTGCATTATGTTTTTGAAGTTGATTGATTTGCACGTCATTTTTCTCACATTTCGTGCAACAAAAACCTTAAATAAGCCTCTTTTGGATATTAGGAAACATTAAATAACACAACAAATTACCTCCTATAATAAATATGTGCAATGTCATTGAACCCAGTAGGTACATTTAATCAAATTATATTAGCATCTTATGCTTGCTAGTAATTTTTGAACTAAAACATCGACAGCCGTCTTTAAAATTATCACAGAAACCACACACACTGATCATTGCAGTTGGGCTCAGCGTTCAATGTTGCATAACTGATTCAATTTAATTTGTCGGGAACAGGGTATCTCACCTTATCAGAACTTGCCGGGAACGAGGTATCTTATCAGAACTTGTCGGAAACGGGGTATCTCACCTTATCAGAACTTGTCGGGAACGGGGTATCTCACCTTATCAGAACTTGTCGTGAACGGGGTATCTCACCTTATCAGAACTTGCCGGGAACGGGGTATCTCACTTTATCATAACTTGCCGGGAACGGGGTATCTCACCTTATCAGAACTTGCCGGGAACGGGGTAAACGGAGTATCACACCTTATCAGAACTTGTCGTGAACGGGGTATCTCACCTTATCAGAATTTGTCGTGAACGGGGTATCTCACCTTATCAGAACTTGTCGTGAACAGGGTATCTCACCTTATCAGAACTTGTCGTGAACGGGGTATCTCACCTTATCAGAACTTGTTGGGAACGGATTATCTCACCTTATCAGAACTTGTCGTGAACGGGGTATCTCACCTTATCAGAACTTGCCGGGAACGGGGTATCTCACTTTATCATAACTTGCCGGGAACGGGGTATCTCACCTTATCAGAACTTGCCGGGAACGGGGTAAACGGAGTATCACACCTTATCAGAACTTGTCGTGAACGGGGTATCTCACCTTATCAGAACTTGTTGGGAACGGATTATCTCACTTTATCAGATCTTGTCGGGAACGGGGTATCTCACCTTATAAGAACTTGCCGGGAATGGGGTATCTCACCTTATCAGAACTTGTCGGGAACGGGGTATATCACCTTATCAGAACTTGTCGGGAACGGGGTATCCCACCTTATCAGAACTTGCCGGGAACGGGGTATCTCGCCTTATCAGAACTTGTCGTGAACGGGGTATCTCACCTTATCAGAACTTGCCGGGAACGAGGTATCTCACTGTATCAGAACTTGCCGGGAACGGGGTATCTCACCTTATCAGAACTTGCCGGGAACGGGGTATGTCACCTTATCAGAACTTGCCGGGAACGGGGTATCTCACTTTATCAGAACTTGCCGGGAACGGGGTATCTCACCTTATCAGAACTTGTCGTGAACGGGGTATCTCACCTTATCAGAACTTGCCGGGAACGGGGTATCTCACTTTATCATAACTTGCCGGTAACGGGGTATCTCACCTTATCAGAACTTGCCAGGAACGGGGTATCTCACCTTATCAGAACTTGTCGTGAACGGGGTATCTCACCT